TGCTGCATGTCACGCTGCACATAAGATCAAAATGTTCTCTTCATGTTTCACCATCAAACGAAGGCAGGATGAGAAAGAAAGGGGGAACATCTATCTGAAGAGATTTTTTTTTCTCTTTTTGTCTTGAAGGTTTTAAAAGCTTCAAACTAAGGGCCTCGTGTTGCCCCAATGGAGTGGTTATCTAAAATGTATTATTTGCTCCAGCTTGAGTTTTAGCGGTGGTTGAAGGAAGCCACACGGTGCGGACTGACCTCAGAGATTGGGTTTGGAAAGACAAGTACTACTTTACTTTACCATTTACTTTATATTTTATCCCACTACTTGCAATGACTATAAAATGAACCTTTGAAAATATATTAGAACAAATGCTGAACTCATATGTTTAAATTAAAATATTAACAACACATGAGCTGAATGTGAAGTCGTAACATTAACAAATGTGTAGATTTATATTTACCTTAATACAATGACAGCTGAAAACTTGTAATCCACTTGAGACCTTTTTCCAATATAACATCAACTCAAGTAAAGGAAAAGAAAAAGCGAAGAAGAAATGTTCTCTTCCTACTGTTTCATTTCATACTGTTCAGCACTCTGTCAAAGCCGCTTTAGTCTGAGTAATTATGACATTAAATGCAGACAAGTTATTCCAATTATTTTCTTGACAGCATGTTGAAAAGCAACTAACAAACAGCTGCATCAGACAACACAGGGGGAAAAAAGCAGCACAAGAAAAACCCTTGTATGTGTGACAGAACAGTAATTATGGATTGACAGTGTGTGACTTCTGTCCACTATAGCAGGCAGGTGTAGAGGTGGAGAGTGCAGCAAGCTAACATCACACTCTCATCATGTGGGTGCTTCTGTATTTTCAGTTAACCTAAATTTTATTTGTATAGCGCCAAATCATGACAGAAGTTACCGTAGGACATTTTTTCAAATAGTCTGGACTGTACTCTACAAGCAAATTATTTACAGAGACCAAAAAATTCTCAATTTACAACTAAATCAACAATCTGTGCTATAGTTGTGGCCAATTTCAAAGCTTAACAGGAAATTGTGTTTTTCTGTCATTTGTCTGTACCCCGTCCCTTTTTCTCCTGTGATTTGTTTATTTCGCTCTTGGAATCAACGTGAACGTTTTACTTTGATACATCTTTGCCTTGATTCAAACTGCAAAGAGAACCTACTTTTTTGTTAGTTTTTTTTATAGCAAGAAGATTAAATGTGATCCAGGAAGTCTTGTTTGTATAATGCATTCATCAGTCTGAAGGCCGATTATATGGCAGTGTTTGGAAGTTATCATACCAACAGCAATTTTATTCTACTTCCTAAGGATTTCAAAGTTAATAGTAGAACCGAAAAAGACTTTGATGACAGGTTTGATTTGCCAACACAATGCACAATGTTTGTGTGTATGACACGTCTAGTGTTTGTCAAAGTGTCAAATTATGCAAGCTATTTCCGACTTTACATTGTGAAAATGACATGGCGCATAAATTATACTGTCTACTTCTCTAGGTCTCAAAATAATTAAAAAACATATAATACTATCAAAATACTACAAAATTTAGAATGAAAATACTATGAGATTGCAGACACTGTAATTTAAAATAAACTTTTTTTTTGTATCTGCCTGCTATGCAGTCATGTTCATGCACATAGCACATGCTTACATCCATGATTAGTTACAAGCTAAAAAGTTCAAAAACACTGCAATTGAGGCTCCAAACGGGAACTATTGGGAAGGGAAGTGTGGACCAGTAGAACCACTTTTTCACCAAATCAACTCTGGTTCTTGAATCGGTTATGTTTAGGATTCAACAAGAATAAACTTGCCTCCTCCTGCGTGAACTGTCGATACGCTACTGTGTTTTAACATTGGTCATAATGGTGGTACTTCGAGAGTGAGAGAGGGTGGTACGTGGTGTTTGAGAAACACTGCACTAGTAGATATCAATGTAACCCAATGAACATTTCAGTTGATGCAATGAACCCTGTATGAGAAAACTCCTTAAGTTAGAGAAGCTACTGGAGCAAATGCTGGCTGGGAAAAGATGCAGGACTTAAAGAAGTGATTGAATTTCACAGTGGGGGAATGCCATTTCCAAACGCTGCATCAAAAACAATTCAATCATTAAAGAGAGACATGCTGTGGCTCTTCATTTCTTATTTATTTTGTTAAAATACATATGAAACAGATACAATAAATCATATTCCAAATGTTTACTTTAAATTGTTACAAAAGTTATCACAAACTGTACACATCATGACAGCAATTGCAGTTGTTCTTGCTCAATATAGATTTAACCAATATGCAAACAATTACAGCTCAAAGCTCTAAACTCCTAAACATGGAATAACTTGATAAGGTAGAGTTGGCTTCACTGGGTCTCCAGTTGGACTAATTGTTCACAACTATTACAGAACGTGTATAAATTTCACTTGATTACAAGTCTGAGCTGTTCAAATTATCACTAAACAATAGAAATACATTGTGATGTCTCGATTTCCATAACTTTACGACAACTTCTTAAATTCCACTTTTGAATATATACAAACGGTGCCATTGACAAGTATATATACAGACAAATGTAAACACAAAGTTTGAAATTTTTTAGATACTCTAATTTAATAGGTGTGTTTTTAAAGTGGTGAGAGGCATGCTACGAGTAAAAATATTTATTTTTAATAAGGGCAGCGCAGGGGGAAAAAAAAGCGTGATTATATGCATGTGCAAGTTAAGTTAACAGTACATAGCCTTTTTCTATTTGCTATGTTGGTTTCTTATTAGTTTCTTATTACTCGCGTATAAGGAGAAGCTGAGTCAATGTTCTTTATTGAACTTAATTTCATATGGCTTAATGTGAATAATATACATAACATTTGCAAATGTTTTCGATGTGTGTGTAACTTCTTTAATGGATTATAATTCCCTGAATCTGTAACTGGTGAGAAACAACTGTTGTACAATAAAGTCTGGTTGAGATTCGATTATCTGTATTACCCTACTCTATGTTTGACCAATTGACCCTTTCTTAAGTCCCGCCCCTTTTTGCTCTGTGCTCCAATAACAGTTGAGCAAGCCTCGGTAAGTCAACTTTCTCCTCTCCTGTACTTAGATATGCTATGTGCTAGCCTCGTCTATGTTGAAAAGACAACCATATTTTAAAGACTGTCAACGTTCAGTTGTGCCTCTAAATCCTACACACTGGTCATTTTAAGTTAGCTAATTTTAGCTAACTAACGATTTATGTAATGACTGAAGCTTGCTCAACGGTTATTTAAGCGCAGACCAAAAATGGGCGGGACTTAGAAAGGGTGAATTGAGCCTTTTCTAAGCTCCACCCCTCTTAGTCACTGTTGCTATGCCTGTGAAGCTTTTCATTCTGACCATGGTGGCAGATAAACCCCTTAAATTAACAATGAGTCCTTTATTTCAAACAGAGTTTGACAAAAGCAGCCTCTCATTTTAAGCTGGCGACCTTTATTGATGTTGTCTGAACTGACTCTTGTCGCTAGATGTTAGCAGCTGATATTGTGTGGCTGAAGGAGCATGTCTAAGGCAAAAAGTCATGTAAGATTTGACTAAGCAGGACAGAGGTTAAATTTATACGTTATTATTTGTATTTCCAAACTGTATGTTCACTTTTCACTTTATAAAAGAAAAGACTTTTAGGATGAGGACTAACTAATGTGTTTAGTGAATGTAACGCTATAGCAGATAACAAATTTGGCTGGGGTTGGTGATCATCCAGGACTATGACTTCCAGGGTCGTTATTATTGTGAACGGGGTTTGAAACCCGTAACCTCACATAATAATGCAATATAAAATGCTCCTGGCCCTGGATGTAATAAGGCTGGGTTAGGTTGCTACTGTAGCCAGTTAGCTAGTTAGCCAGACATGCTAACGTTAGAGCAGCTGAAGTCAGAGCACATAAACGCACTGTTTTATCTATTTCTTACATTTTTGGTCTTTTCATTTTGGAGATGGTAAATAACAAGAAACCTAAGAGTGACAGGCCAGCTGTGCCCAGTTATGGCTGCTAAGCTAGGATTGGACACTATTTTTTTATTTTATTTTTTGGCACAGGTAGCCTAAGCTCTCTCTATATTTTTAATTAACATTGTTATTTAATATTTTGACATCCTCTAAAGACCTTTCCATTTACCTTTCAATAACTAATTTGTAAAGTAGAATGTGAAGCCAAATTATCAACCAATGTACCATTATCCATTAGTGTTGAAAGGCATTTGTAATGTAAACAACAGTTTCATTATATTTATTGAGCTCAATTTGCAATTATGTTTTGAATTTTATCAGGTGTAAAAAAAAAAAAATTTTTGTTTGCTACATGTATCTGCTACAGTTTTAGAGGGAGTCCTTTTGACTTCTCTTATATCTGCAGGTAACAATGGCTGGTTAATGACCGGCTCTACTATCTGTGACAGTCGTGACTGATGAATTTGAAGAGATTTACCCAGCCCTTGTAGATGCTCAATAAACCTGCATTCTTCAGCCAAAACCTGGATTTATTGACCGTTTTTTCATCCAGCAAACATTTTCATGGCATTGAGCAGCGTAGCCCTTTAGCTTTGTGCCATTTTAAAGTAAAATGCTAACTCACTAAAGAGCTCTTGGGCCGGAAAAAAATGTTGATACACGTGCAGGCGAATCACTCAAGACATCTTGCAGTGAGGCCTACCATTCATGTGGTCTGTGTAAATGTTTGGCAAGATAAAGCCTTTCTGAGCAGATGTATGAAAAACAAACTCTTGAACTGAATGCGTGCTGTGCATAGCCAGCTCTGTATAGCACTTGAAGAACTGGAGTTCCAACGAATGAGTAAAAATAACTTCAACACAATATTTGTTTTGTTATAAACAAATAAGGTACGTTGCTGGAATGAATTCAGTTTTCATACAACATTCTCACAAGACACTCATTAGGCAACACAACTTCCCAGCAACTCTAAACAAACATCTGGTTTTCTTACAGAGGTGGCGTCATCGCTCTACCTGTGATCATCAAGGTGTATGTGGAGGTTTGGGCGACGGACACGAACCTTGACTCTCAAAGCTTGCTGCTCTTCCAGGCCACTGCAAGGTAAAATGTCACAAAACACAACACATTATAGAGGCTCTACCCGTCCCTGTGTGGTATTTAAGCAGCTTATTACTCTAGTCCTCAGTGTGTACTGTGATCATAGGCAAAAGAGTTGAGTATTGGCGCAGCTGGGTTAGGTCACATTAAGCAGCAGAGCCAGATCATCACACAGGCGGATGTGGCAAAAAAAAAAAAAAAAAACATATTTTTTGAAACCATAAGGCATAAAAAGGCAAGTTTTAATTGTAGCGCTATTTGATTTGTATACCATGATACAATATGTGGTCTTACATTTGCAGTCAACAAAATCTACCTTTTGAGTATGGAGCCAATCACACAGCAACGCATTGCTAGAAACGCGTCCTGTGTTTTGGCGCGTGCTTCCCTTTTGTGCTACATGATGTTTTTTTTCTAGCGGTTTTTGTGACACATAAAAATGTGTGTCTCACTTGGCTCAGACAGCCAATTAAATCAGGCAAGAGGCAGGCTTTACTACTTTACCACTTCCTTCCTGTTTTGATGCTGTTTAGTAAACCAGTAAATAGGATAGCTGGCTAGCTAGATAGCTGTTGGGCTGAGAGAACTACAGAGCAGTTATCCACCTATTTGAAATAAAGCTAGAGTTTATTCATCAAGAGCTCAACTTCAGTTTGAATCACTTTTTTCTCATTAATTAAATTTTATCTTCCAGTTAAGGATGCTGCCCCAATCCACAGGCGCACCAGCTGTTTTTCCCATTGCACTTTGTCAAGGAGTTTTTGAGGTGGCCTCGCCTATAGCGATGCGTCTCTGTGTGATCAGCCCCTTTGAATCCTGCACCCCCTGCAGGCCTGAAAGTTGGCTCTAAACATTTGCTTCGTCACGCGCACAGTAGCTGATGTCAGCTTGGATTCAAGGCAATTACGGTGGCTTCCAGCATTTTGCACAGTGGGGAAAGAAATATTAAAGATAGTATAAAGCTGCATTGATCCCTAAGTGGGATTTTCACGTTGAAAAACTTACATAACTATGAAAATATTGTTAGACCCCCCCCACTCCTGCACCAAAATCCCTCTTCTCAGTTTTGATGCAGCGTATGTTTTACTCTCCCAGAAAAATATAGTTTCCATTTTAAACCTCATACACTACCCTGTTGAGCTTGTGAGCAGGAATCTTATGTCTAATGTTACTATTGTATGTACTGCTTTCTGCATGCATTATTCACAATACTATGTACCCCGAAGAATAGATTTATAACTAATAGACACAATCCAAGTTGACTGTATTCCCATCTCCTTACGCAAGTGTTTATTACAGAGCTACAGAGGACACGTTTTTTTGCCCATGATTACAGTTTCTACCAAAGCATATGAAGTAGTTTTACCACTGAAAATGGGTAATCACCTGTATTTTCCTATTCGTCAGATGGGGAGTGGGTGTGGCAGAAGAGGAAGAAACATTGATAACATGTAAAATATGAAATTACATTAAACCTCTTTCAATCCCCCTCCCCACCCCAAAAAATACCTTCCAGCAACTGTAAAACTGTCTCTACAGTATTTACACAGTTTATTAGCGAGCAAACTAAACACCACAGTATCAAAGAGTCAGCTGGGTTTTGTTTGCAGTTTGCAGAGCTGCCAACTTCTCTATGGGGACATGACTTCTGAGATGCTGCATTTAGGCACTTGGTCCTGCTGCTCCACTGTGTAAGGTCATCAAGCCATTATATATTTGTATCTTTTGAATTTCTACATACACACGTGCAACAGACAGTATTGGAGTTGTTGGAAAGCACCTTTGACCAACCTAGGCTAGTTTCCCCTTGCAAAACACATATCTGTGTATTGAATGCAGATTAAATTAATGTCTCTTGGTAAGACAGCTGATAAATTTCCTCAAAACTTCTAAATATCCATAATTTTAGTTTTTTTTTTTGGTGATTTTCACAGAAATATGTGCAGAATTTGTATAATTAGTTGGTTGGACTAAAATCATTTGTATGTCCCCATGTATCAGAAACAACTGCTGATTTTGCAGATCAACCAGGCTCCTTCAAAATGTAAAAATGTATCTTTTAAACTAAACGGTAACGGTGCATTGTACATTTTTTCATCTGATTTTCTAGTGTTATAATATTCCGAATAAACACAGGTACATTACTGGATTTTTTGTTTTGTTTTGTTTAAATGAGAAAACCAAAGAACAAAACTAATATAATATCCATAAAGTAAATGAAGGAAGAATGATATGAGTTCTTTGAGACTGGGGGCAAAGAAGTGTCTGTACCTCTCCGAGAGCGTGCCAGTGCGTGATTGGCTTCCGTGGATAAGCCAGCATCTCGTTCCAGTGATCTCGTCCAAGACCCTCAGCATCTGGCCCGGCGTGACACACACCGATCACCTCATTGTGTCCAACCCTGTTAGTAGAAAAACACACATTAACACGCGTTTAGCTAGTACATAGTAAAGCTTGTAGTTACGGCTGCATGATATGGTGAAAAAGGATGATTGTTTTGACAGATATTATAATTGCAATATGATTGACGATAAGTGGAAATTATGTTTGCATTACAATTTTCATTTTAACTGAGAAAAATGATTAAAATTAAGATGATGTGACATTTGTTGGGGTCTGTATCAAACACACACATTCTCTGCAGCACTATAGTACCTAATTATAACGCTGTTTTGTCACACATTTGACCTTTTGTCAACAAATTGCAGCTTCTGCGATTTGGATATTGCACTGATTAATTGCAAAGCCCTATCTCTAGTAGTGCCGAAGCAGAGTTCATGAGTGAACTGGAAAATGAATGTGTATTTCGTCTGCCTTAGATTACATAAAGGTATCAAAAAGAACCTGGAAGTTCTTCAAAGGTTCAGTCTAAACCAACTGACCTCAATAACGCACCTTGTAAAAGCAGTCTAATTGGTCTTAATGATCAGTTTCTAAAAAAATCCAAAACTTTTTGTCCTTCTCAGAAGTGGGTTGACTTGTTTTTAGCATATAAGCATGTATTCTAGATGCTAGGGATGAGCGAGTACACCATTACCCGTATCTGTATCTATCTATTTGTGTCTGTACTTGGACTGGGCGGGGCTTAAAGTGTAAGTGGGCGGTAAGTCCACTGAAAATGGGCAGGGCTGGCCAGAGAGGTTGTAATTTAAGCCTAAAATTGATATGGAATGATAAGAAGGTTGATAAAAAATAAAACTATTTACAGAACAGCCTCATAATTGAGCTTCAGAGCAATGTTTTTGATCACAAAACCAGCCCAGCACTGGCGTTTTTTTTTACGGTTATTTTATTTAAACGCTTTTATTATTAAGCAGCAAAACCAGGAAGTGTTGGTTTTCATCAGCAGTAACTTAACACAACTCCTATACAGCTGAAAGCGATCATGAATGTAAAATAAGGACAGGAACTAAACCCTAGTAGATTATTAGTATCTAGTGACTGCTTAACTCACCGATCATAATCCATCACCATGATGGACAGACTGACTTGTTCCACGTTCTCCGGGGGAATGTCGAAGATGATGGCCTCGTTGTACGCTGGGTTAAGTGTGCTTTTCTTGGTGGTTGTTTTTCGCTTCTTTAACCTCCGTCCGTCACATATCAGGTAAACCTTTACATAAGGGTCTGAGAGACATGTTTAATTGTCATTTAACAATTTGTTACACATTAATTTCTTCAGAAGCTCTACAAAATTCAAACTGTACTTTTTCACACAACATACAGCTAAGATCTGTATTTCCCTATTCTGACAGGGTGTAATACTTTATATAATTTGTTCCCACTGGTCTCCCTATGTCCCCATTTCCATTCTAAGTGGCCACCTGCTGTCTCGTTTCAGCTAAGTTTGATTTATGGCTCAGCTTGGGCTTTTGATGTGAGCCACATCTTATTTGCTGTCGGGTTACCTGAGGAGCCTGTGATGTCCATGGCTTTGAGGTTTCTGCATTTGATGACTGTTAGGGTCATTCTCCCTGCTGTGGGGAGGTAGCACAACGAGTACATGATCTCTCCCAGGTCAACACTCTCCTGGAGGACAAAAAAGAAAGAGACAACTGAATGAACTTTTAACCATTTTAAATTCTTTGTCCTCATTTTGTGAATCAAAACGCCGAAGCAAAAGAGTAAAAGTCCGTAAATAAAGGGGGTCGGATTTTGTCAGCTAACATTTTATTATTAGTTGTAAGTAATGATTTGGTTTTTAGACACGCTAGAGGCAGGCTTTGGTCCACACACAAATAACTCAGTAACTACTGGGTGGTTTAAGTTGAGATAAGATCCTTTATTGATCCCCTGTAGGGGAAATTCAAATAGGCACAGCAGCACAGGGGAATGTAGTGCAAAGAGTAAAGAAATATAATAAAACAAAATACGCTATATACAACCAAATAAAATATAATAAGCCTGTGTCCATATTTTACCATACAATTTTTAATGGATATTCATTAAGTTTGATAATCCCCTGAATCTTCTGAAAAAGATTTGTTGACTATTTTGAATATTTTGTCTGTAGCCTGGCGTTTTCAGAGAACACTGCCACGAACAACACGTTGAGCATAATAGCATGTAGCTCTTTGCTTGCACGAGTATAAACAAGGTTTTAATCTTTTTACATTTCTGATAAGCCTTATTTGAGGCTCAACTTGTTTTTGGCTAAGCAAGTCTTAGTGTTAACATTTGTTTATTAAAACTAGAAGGTACTAGATACTGTATTTGTTGAGATTTGTGTAAAACGGCACTGCTGGTCAGAATGTGATTAGAGACAAATCACTGTAGTCATGTATTTTCTTCAGGTGGTCAGTTGGCTTGAAGTTACCTATTAAGTTGACATGATATTGTGATGATACAAAGTTTAATGGGTGTGCTTAGGTTTTATGATACAGTTTGAAATGTTCATGAAGAAAGTTAAAAGTAAATCTGTAAATAAAACTAAACATTTCTTGTCTTGTAATGTAGAGAACTTAGAGAAGTTATCTTAAACAACTTTGGATGAACAGTTAAGGAA